TTGCGAAGCGTGCGAGGGGGGCGGATTTTTCCTGATCCTTCTGACCCTCAATTACATTGTGGTAAGTCCAAGGGGGGTGGGTAATTTTCCCTGACCCTATTGACCCTTAATTGCATTGCGGGAAGTGCGCGGGCGAGGGCGGAATTTTTTTGACCCTTCTCACCCTAAAGGGCAATGTGGGAAGTCCAAGGGTGGGGGGAAACTTTTTTTCCTAACCTGGCGACCTTAAATCAAATAGCAAAGAATCCGAGTGGGGGGGGGGCTTTTTTTTTACCCTTCAGACCCCAAATCGAATTGTGGAGGATCTAAGGGGTGAGCGGAATTTTTTCTGACCAATCTGACCCTAAATTCAGATTGTTGAGGGTGTGATGGGGGGATTTTTTTTACACTGCTGACCCTTAATCGTATTGTGGGAAGTCCAAGGTGGGGGGGAGACAATTTTTTTTGCCGACCCTTCGGACCCTAGATCAAATTGCGAAGGTCCGAGGGGCCGGGGCCTTTTTTCCCGACCCTTCAGACCCCAAATCGGATTTCGGCGGATCCGAAAGGTGAGGGGATTTTTTTTCTGACCCTTGTGACCCTAAATCGGATAGTTGGGGAAAGGGGAATTGCGGTTTCTTTGTTGAGGATGCAAGGAGGGGATTTTTTTTTGTCCTGTCACCCTTAATCGTATTGTGGGATGTCCGAGTGGGGGGATTTTTCCCGACCCATCTGACCCTAAATCGAATTTGCGAAGCGTGCGAGGGGGGAGAATTTTTCCTGACCCTTCTGACCCTTAATCACATTCTGGGCGATCCAAGGGGGGGGGAGTGGAATTTTTTTTCTGACCCTTCTGGCCCTAAATCGAATTGCAAAGAGTCCGAAAGGGGAGGGGGTTCTGACCCTTCAGACTCCACATCGGATTGTGGAAGATCCAAGGGGAGAGAATTTTTTTTCTGACCCTTCTGACCCTAAATCGAATTGCAAAGAGTCCGAAAGGGGAGGGGGTTCTGACCCTTCAGACTCCACATCGGATTGTGGAAGATCCAAGGGGAGAGAATTTTTTTTCTGACCCTTCTGACCCTAAATCGGATAGTTGATTGTGCGTGGGGCGGGTGGGGGTAATTTTGGGTTCTTTGTTGAGGATGCAAAGGGGAGGGGATTTTTCCCTGACCTTTGTCACCTTTAATCGCATTATGGGGTGTCCAAGGGGGGGGGTGAATTTGACCGGACCCTTCTGACCCTAAATCGAATTGCGAAGCGTGCGAGGAGGTGGGGAATTTTTCCTGGCACTTCTGACCCTCAATCACATTGTTAGGCTTCGAAGGGGGGTGGGGGGGGAATTTTTCCTGACATCCTAAATCGGATGGTTGAGGGTGCGATGGAGGGTTTTTTTATGAGCCTTCTGATCCTTAATCGCATTGTGGGAAGTCGAAGGGGGCGGGGGAATTTTCCTTTTGACCTTTTTAACCCTAAATTAAATTGCGATGGTCCAAGGGTTGGTGGAAATTTTTTCCTGACCCTTCTGACCTTTAACCAAATTGGGATTGGTGAGGGGAGGGAGGTATTTTTCCTAATCCTTCTTACCCTTAATTGCATTGTGGGAAGACGAAGGAGGTTGGGCCAATCTTTCTTACCCGTTCTGACCTTAAATCGAATTGGGAATGGTGTGAGGGGGGGGGCGGGGGTTTCTGACCCCTCTGACTCTAAATCGGATTGTGAAAGATGCGAGAGGGGACGTCATTTTTTCCTAACCTTTAATCGGATTGTTGCGGTTGCAAGGGGTGAAATTTTTCCTGACCTTTCTGATCCTTAATCGAATTGTTTTGTGTTCGACGTGCAGGCAGGCATTTTTTTTCCGGCCCTTCTGACCCTAAATCAGATTGCGAAGGATGCGCGGGAGGAGAATTTTTCCTG